CGTCGGCTGAAAGGGGGGGGGGGGAGACATCCATCATCCAATCACACACACATCTGTCGCTGTGTGTGTCTTGTTGTATCCTCACGCCCTGCGGAAGGCCGTGGGTTCTACAGCACACACGCACACATACACAAGCACACAATGTGTCTCAACACACACCTGGGACAGTCGCTTACCTCCTGCGCCTCAATGAAGTGCTTCAGGTTCTTATTTCTCGGCGGCAACTTCTGACATGCCTCCTGGTACGCCTGTGCCACCATGGTGCTGTGTCTTCTTGCTGTCTGCTGTCGCTCGAACTCCTGCAGGAGGTCGCAGTGGTGCCAGTGGAGCATCCTGGTGTCCTGCTGGCGCAGGCTCCGCCGGTTCTCGCGAGCATGGCTCTGACGCTTCCTGCAGCTCGGAGAAGAGACGATTGACAGCAGATGGAGACGGAAGCGCGTGTGCGTGGCGCGGTGTGGTGCCGCTGAGTTACTTGATGAGGTCTCTGTTCTCTGCGAGGAGCTGTTTCCTGTCTGTGCTTTCGGGCATCACACCAGGCCCTCTTTCCCTCTGAATGGAATGGAGCAAAAGTAAGGAGTGTACATGGATGGATGCATTAGCTTGAGATTCTTGTGGGTGGTCGTATTACTCTGTATAGGTACTGCTCGAGCTCCTTGTTGCTGAACTGCTGCAGGCCCTCAGCTGCAGGGGCCAGCATGGCCACTCGTCGCCCCGTGCTGCTCCCATCGAGCTTGTAGTCCGCCTGCTGGTCCGTCATTCCCGGCAGAATGCCACCGATCGGCACCACTACCGCACTCGCCGTCGGCACGCGTGACTTGGTCTCATCTTCTCGTGCCGAATGCTGATCCTCTGAAGGTATGACAGCCGAGCAGATCAGCGTGTTTTCTTTCCTCCTCTTGTGCATTCTCTTCACCTTTTCTGCCAGACTGAGAAAAGGTGTGTGCCGGCGCTGAGGTGAAGTTAAGGACGCGATTGACGATGTTTAGCCGGCCAACCCGCAGCTGCAGCGACACTGCGCTCTCCTGCTCCATGGCCCCCTTGCTCGCGCCGATTTTGGCCTGCTCCTCAAGCTCACCTCGCACGTACCGACTCTGCGAATGCGAATTGGCAGCAATCGATGAGGGAATGCTCGGGCTGTCTTCTCTGTTGCTGACCAGCTGGTGAAGTAACTCATTGAATGCCTTCTCGCAGACATCAGGCGGGTAGTTGATGGACCGAGCCAGCGACACAGCCTTCACCTGCACCTCTTCACCCTTCACACAATCACACAATCACACACACACACACACACTGCCACTATCTGTCCCTGAGCTGAGAGTCTTTCCCCCGTACTGTACGTCAGGTGGAGGCATCGGTGGAGCTTCAGACAGCAGCAGCTGGCACTTCGCCACAAACGACCGTCCCGGCACATAGGCACACACCGGCGGCCTCCCATTCCCGCCCGTCAAGAAGAACCGACCCAGCCCAGGCACATGAGCCACACGGCCTCGACCGACCTCCTGCAGACCGAGAAACACAGCTCACACGGAGGCTCTGCCTGCCCGTGTTTGTCTTTTCTGTGCGTACTGCAGGTACCTTGAGGAGGATTTTGCCAAGTGCAGTCCACAGCTGCTGGAGCTGGGCGAGGGGGAGGGAGGGGGAGGCGGCCTGCTCGATGCACAGGCGGAACAACCCGCCCTCTGTCAAAGGCATGGCTGGACCAACTAAGGAGGCGGGCAGCCGGGCGCTACAGCTTCAAGTTGTTCATCACCGCCCCCACAGCCCCATTGCATGCATGCAAAAATGCGAGCTCAGATGGCAAAGGTCGGTCCTTTCAGATGGCTGACGCCGAGAAACGTGTGCCGCTAAAGGGCGCGTGGTCGTTCCTTAACGCACCGAATTCGAAAGACATAGCGAAGAGAAAAGTGAGAAAAGCGTTTGATCTTCCGCCCAAGCCATTCGACTACCTCGTGGTCAGGGAGGGAGTTGGGCGGCTGCAGGCAGGCAGGCAGAAGGCAACACCACGAGAGGCCATGGATGGGGAGGGAGAGGGAGAGGGAGATCTTGCGCTCGCCACACACAGTGTGCGTGTCCCTGTCTGCTCTCAGGTTCTTGATTTCGAGTGGTCAGCATGCGGATGGTTCTTGATTTCGAGTGGTTACATCAATGTACTGACTGCTCTCTTCTCTCAGGACGTGCGACAATCGTCCGGGCTTTGGCGCAGGGGAGATCATCGAGTTCCCCTCGGTGCTGGTGCGGACATCACCATGCGAGATTGTAGATGAGTTCCAAGGTACACACAAAGGAACGGGACACTTCTGCCGCCTGCATCTTGTTGCTGTTGTCACTTATGTGTCTGGGCGCCCCCCGCGCAGTCTACTGCCGGCCTGAGGAGCGGCCGCAGCTCACGAGGTTCTGCACGGAGCTGACGGCCATCACGCAGGCCATGGTGGACAGGGGTGTGCTGCTGAGCGAGGCCATCAGGCTGCACCATCGGTGGATGGCGTCACACGGCTTGCTGCCTGAGCCCACTGATGGGCCTGCTGATGCCCATGACCACCAGCAGCCGCAGAGAGGGAAGGAGGGAGAGTATCCTTCCTTTGCATTCGTCACGTATGTAAGGGCAACCGCTGTCAGCGCTCAGTCATGGCCATGAGTGGATAGAATATTCATGTGTGTGTGCGTGTGTGTGTCTATCTATCAGTTGGGGCGACAGCGACTTGATGTCGGCTCTGCATCGAGAGTGTGAGCGCAAGGGCCTCCCCAAACCGCTGCACTTCTGTACGTCCCTCCAGGGCCAAACACCCACCCACTCCCACGATTTAAAGAGAGCTCACGCGTAGCGTCGTGTGTGTGTTCTATATTTCCATGCAGGGAAGTGGATCAACCTCAAGGCGCTGTTCAAGCAGCACTACAGGCGCGAGCCCACCGGAGGCCTGCAGCGAGTCGTCGAGAGCCTCGGCTACACATTCGAGGGCCGGGCACACTCAGGTACTCACTGCAGGCACACGTGGGGAGGGAGGTAGGAGGGAAGGGCAGCAACGACCCCCCAGACAGAGCAATGACTGTGTCGTCAGGTCTGGTTGATAGCCGCAACACGGCCAAAATAGTGACCGACATGATCCGTGGGGGCTTTCGCTTCACGAGGACCACACGCGGCTGCGGGCCAGACGGTCAGCCATATGGCCGGCCGAAAGCAGGCGACAAGAGGGCCGCTGACAGGGCTCAAAGGAGACCGGCACTGTCCTCCAAGGCACCCAGAGGAGAGAAGCGGGCGGATGTGGAAGGTGCATTGCGGAGGGAGGAGGGTGCGTGAAATGAAACGGCCCGGTGTGTGTGACTAGGTGAGGATGACAGGGATGCTGTACAGACAGACCCCTCCGGTGTGCTGCATTGCAATGCAATCATTGCAGTCAACTTCGTATGATCCATCTGTGCATAGTGCGTTGGGATCGATAGACAGACAGACAGATGCAGGCATGGTCTTGCCTGTTCGTTGTTTCCTGTCGTGTCATTTGGTCGAGACTGACATACAACCAGTCGACGCTGAATGGAGTGGCAGTAGTCAACGAGTCGGCAAGATGGTGCGCAGTGTGACCATCAACAAAGGATGCATGTGATTGACGCGTGTAAGATCTGAGTGGGTTTCATTCAATTAACGACCGAGCCGAGCGAGTCCCGAAAAATCCCCTTCATCCATCATCACAGATGTATGTCACACGTCGCGCACAGCATCTATCTAAGAATGAGCAGCCACCTCAGCCACAACGCAAATGCGCTGACGCACGACACACCAACCAACCAGCACTCAAAAACAGCACTCGCCCACACCCCATGCAGTAGTCACATCTTCGCTCAGATCTGCTCGCCAGGCTCGCCCTTGAGCTGCACACACCACCACAATCAGCCAACCAAACACACAAACACACAGTGTGTAAGAACGAACAAGTCGGATCCGTGTTTGTTCGTCCCATGCATGCGCAGCGCACCGGGGGAGCCAGGAGAAGGATGATGATGAAGATGGCGAACAAGCCTGCAATGGTGAGGGCATTGCCGCCGAAGCTGGCACTGTCATAAGCCAGCAGGTCCGTCGGGATGCCGTCCAGCGATGAGGCTGAGGCCTGGTCGACGAGAGATGCAAGGGGCGCGAGGGCGCCGAGAGCAGTGGCACCCTTCTGGATGTCGCCGCGCGATAGTGCAGATGTCCTCTGGGCCCGCAACAAGGATGGCGATGTAGGGTTGACCTGGAAGCAGTGAGAGAGGGCGATGAGGCCGAGGAAGACCAGGGCGACGGCTTGGACGGACTTCATTTCGCCTGACCGATGGATGAATGAATGGATGGGGAGCTGGAAGCTGTTCTCTTATTCGGTGTGCCGACTCAGACTTTGCAAAATGCGAGCTTGCCACAGAGCCGTAAATTCTATTTTTCCCCTCGAAAACCGATTCATCACGCAATCATAGCACTGTCCCTCCCGCCCGTCTCCCTCGGCAGTCCGCCGCCGCCCATCAGACATGTCAGCTCAGCCACAGGCAGACGCAGATCCGACAACATCACACTACTGCTACTACCATCACTATCACTATCACCGCCACCACCACGCATGGCGGCCCACGCCCACACGGACGCCTTGAGGTGCTCTATCAGCCGCAGCAGCCCCTGCCTCCCCTGCCTCACCCTCTCCACACCGCCGACGCCACCGTTGGTCGGCGGCCCATCAAGCCGCCCGATTGCCGAGGGCAGCAAGGGGCGGAACCGCGCCAGGTCCCCGGGCGCATGGACGCCTGCGGCCTCGAGTCGCGCGATTTTGACGCCGAGCTCCATGGCGGTTCGGATGAGGGCGTAGACGGCCCATGTGGAGAGGGAGGGGATGGAGGGGAGGGCGGGGGAGGGGAGTGGGAAGTGGAAGCTGTTGTGTGGGATGGATGAGTCGAGGAGGGCGAGGAGGGAGAGGGTGAGGTCGTCGTCGTAGGCCTGCCTGAGGGAGGTGATCGAGGGCGGGACGGCTGCCCGAGTGGTGAGTGTCGGCAGCTGTGGCTGCGTCTGGGCCTGTGCGGATGGAGGGCAGATGGACGGGTAGCCGACACTGCTCCACTGCGGACGCCACACCTGACATAACACAACCAGAGGCATGAGTGAATAATGAGATACGTTCGTGCAGTGCATCGATGGAGTGTGTGGCTGGAGAGCTGACTTTGTTGCGCTGCAGGAAGGATGCTCCTGCAGGTAGGTAGGGCACACACACCACCTGGCCCCCCTGCCCCTCCCCCACCTTGGCCGTGTCGAGATCGAATGCCATTTCATACTGCGCCACCCCCTGCTGCACATTCGCCAGCCGCCGCATCAGGCTGCAGTACATCTGCACCGCCCACCACTGACGCACTGGACGCGTCGGCACCGTCACGGCATTCACCTGAGCCGCCAGGGGGTCGCCCTGTGCTGCCTCCACCCCTGCTTGCATCTCCAGGCCGTCCCTCTCGCCCACCGCCCGCACAAACACGCCCTCGCTCATCAAGGCCGCCGTCTGTCTCCTCATCCACAGGGCCTCCAGGTGCTTGACGGCACCCCTCTCGCCTTGCTGGCTCAGCCGGGAGTCGCCGTAGTGGCGGTCGCGGTAGCTGCCGTCGATCGCCGGCGGCCTCTCGCCCCCGATGGGCAGCAGGCCGCTCTCGGTGACCTTTGCGGCGCGCAGGGGGTCCAGCGATGCCAGCAGCACCGACAGATGCGACACCACGGTGAGCATGCTCGTCTTGACCAGGTACCACGCCAGATCGGTGTCATGTTGGGCAGCGTCCAGGAGAGGACCCAGGTAGGGCTCGGGGGGGAGGGGGGCGTCGTCGTCGATGAGCAGCTGGCCGTTGAGGAGGAAGCATGACGCCTGGGATGGCGTGGGGGGCGCTTGGGGTGGGTCTATCTGCGGCTGGAGTGGCAAGATGGCGAGCAGAGGGATACTGCGGTCGGTGGCGGGATCTCCTGTGCGTGAGGCGCTCTCGACGATGCGGCAGAGGGACTGCAGCCGATAGATGACCCATTGCACCCTACCAACACACAACACAACACAACACAACGAGGGAGATGTTGAAAACTCTGATCATCCACAGTCTCTCTGTGCGGTTCCTGTGGCACCTCTTGGCGAGTTGTGTTGGGTTTGGGGCAGCCCCCCGGTCGCCGCGCAGTGCATTCGTGACGTGGCTGAACGTGCTCCTCGCCAGCTCACAGGCCAGGGGCACTAACAGCTGCACCACACACACACACACACAGAGAGAGAGAGAGAGACAGGCAGTCAGCACATATGTGTGCAGTCAGTCCACCCCATGGCTATCAGCAGCTGACTGACCGTGAGATGTTCCCTGACGTCGAAGACCAGCTGCTCGACCGAGTCGAGAATCTCGTGGTATGTGGTGGTGGGCACGTTGTCGTGACTCGGGTGCGTCCAGCCGGTGAGGTCGCCGACGCGTGTGTAGAAAGCTACCATCATCTCTACCTGTCGTCACGACAGACAGGGCCAACAGCACAGCACACACCACAACTAACTAATGGATGCAGCAGTGCTGGCTGGATGGTTTCTCCCTCCCTGACTTTGGCGTCTTGGTCGAATTCGTGCAGCAGGCTGACAACCAGAAAGGGCGTGTCCTGGTCGATGCGCCGAATCAGCGAACGGGCCCGCAACCTGCCCACACAGCACAGCACCAAACATCAACGACACACGCAGGCATAAACCACACCCATGCAGCCAACGTCTGGCCAGCCAGCCGGCCGGCTGGCTGGCTGGCTTACTTGCGAGTGCGCTCCTGTGTGTCGGGGTCTATGTCGGGGAGGCCGCTCTCATAGTGCTGCTGCAGGAAGTACAGGCACTTGGACAGCTCGCTGCCCTCGTCACCACACAGGTCACCGTCCCTGCACACACACAACACCCACACACATCCCCATTATGCAATGTGTCTGCCCATCTCATGTGTGTGCCCCCACCCACCAACCCACCCACCCACCCACCCACCCACACCCACACCCACCGGGCAGCAGCGCCCCCGCCCTCCTGCATGGACCGTTTGGCGAAGAAGGTCACCACGTCGTCATTGAAGAGCTCCTCCCCGAGCTTCCTCTCGACTTCGCTAAGCCCCCCCGCCTGGCTGCGCTTGAAGAGCTCCCGGACCCTCCTGTCTTCGGCGAACAGTCGCATCTCCGTGTTGATGACCCTGCACTGCAGCTGCGCAAATTGGGCGTCCTCAGAACCAGACAGCGATTGAACGAATCTCTGCAACGACGGGAGACGGAGAGCGGCCATCTTTATCTTCATCTTTGTGTGGGTTTGAGTGTGTGTGTGTGTGTGTGGATGGGCGGGAGGTGGGCTAGGCTACCATGAGATGGAGGTGTGTTTGGATGGCGACGAAGCTGGTGACCTCGGCGTGGAAGACCTCCCACGTGTTGGACAAAGCAAAATCGGAGCCGCCTATCAGCAACGACTCTGGCGGAGCGGCGTGTTGGGACCCCTGCCGATAGATCATCGTGGACGGCGGCAGCTCGCCTGCACGAGGGAAGAATGTGTGTGTGTGTGAGGGTGAGTCAGTCGCTTCTTCCCCTGTCTGCCCTGTGCATGCATACCAATGAGCGCACCCCCATATTTGTGCCGTATTCTCGTCAGCAGGGCCTCCAGTGTCTCGTCCTGCACACACACAAAACACACACACCAAGACAGACAGACAGACAGATCAGCCACCGTGCTGCAGTGAGTGCACTATGGCACCTCCCTCCTCTCTCACCCACCCCGCCCCACCCTGAGAGCCCTGAGCCTCGTCCACAACACGTCATATGGCTTCTTGCCAGCTCCGACCTCCCCCTCCCTCTCCCTCAGCTTGTCACACGCATGCAGCATGCCTTCCCAGTCCCCACACAGGTACGCCAAGACGCCCGTCTCGTACACGCCCCACTCACCACCCTGCGTCTGCCGCAAACCCCCCGCTGCTCCTTTCCTGACGAGCTCACGGCACATCGTGCGGATGCCCGACCGCACCTGGGCCCCGCCGGCCTGCAGGGGGAATGGGAGGGTGAGGGTGAGGTCGAGCCAGTCGCCTGTGGCGGCCCAGTCTCGGGCGCAGTCGGCCTCGTCCCCGGCGTAGGTCTCGATGCTCTCGTCCATGTCAGTGTAGGAGGGGCCGCCGAAGGGGAAGGCAAAGGCGTGCAGCCCTGAGAGGGTGTCCCGGGACAGGCGAGGCGGGTCGAGCTCAGCATCCTCGCACCCACGCGACTCTGCACACTCACACACAGTGAGTGGGAGGCACCGACGACAAACCATACCTCTGTGTGTGTGTGTGTGTGTGTGGTTTGTGTTACGGATGAGAGCGGCTTCCAGCGACGGCACGTGTGCCGCCTTTGCGGTTGCCTCGTCGTATAGCCCGCTCCTCAGCCTCTTAAATATCGGACGGCAGAACGCCTCCACGTCATCCACGTGAGCAACAGCCTTCTTGGCTACACACACACACACACACACAACTCATGGATCGTATCTGATGCATGCCACGGCATGGAGTGTCTGTCGCTCACCCGCCACGCCCTCCCGGATCTTTCGCCACAGCTGCTCGCCGTCCACCATCTCAGTGTCCCCCATGGCGTAGTCGTCGTCAGGGTCGGTGGCCCGCCGCTCCACCCACTCGAGCCACCGGACTACCGCGCAAAGCAGCCGCAGCCCATCGCACGCCGCAAAGGCCACTCGAGTGGCGAACGCCTCACTGCACACACGCATAGCATAGCATAGCATAGGTGTGATCCACATCACGTGCAGCGTGTCCCTACCTACCTGCAGGGTTTGTCAGGTGGGGCAGAAGGGTTGAGGCCGCTCTCCTGGGTGTAGCCCTTGACCAGCTGTGAGGCCACCAGGTGGCTCCTCTTCAGCAGCAGCAGCAGACGCAGCGTCGACTCCGACCCAAACGCGCCGATGTGCCCCAGGCAACTCAGCAGGTCGTGCGCCTGCCGACCCAACTTCTCTAGGAACACATCGCCGTCATCGCCCTCCCTCTCCTCCACGGCCATCTGATGGTCTTGCTGCTGCTGCTGCTGCTGGTGGTTGTGGTATTGGTGCTGCATGTGTCCTCCGTCTGCCGTCTGTTGCTGGGCCTCCTGCGGGCCGGTTGGTGTGTGAGGGAGGCTGGGGTGGAAGGACAAAGGCGGCGGCGGGTCGTTGGACACGCCGTCGTTGCCCATCATTCAACCACACCTGGCGTCAAACTCTCAGATTGCAACACAGATAGATCTGATTCAGAAGACAGACCGTCCCGTCAGCCAACGGAGGGTCCCGATAAGAGACTCTACACACCGAAACGCTGTTGTTTTTCCCGAGAGCTTGTGAGCTTGCAGATGCGAAGCGTTTTCCGCGGCTGTCCAGGCAGTGATGTTGTCGCGTTCAGTGGGTCTTCTGTTTGCGCGAGGCGGTCAGGCGGCGGCGAGGCGGCTGCCGGCCGCTGTAGGCGGTGTGCGGCAGGCCACAGAGATCATCAAGGATAAGGGGTCGGCAGAGGAGAACATCTACTTCCATCAGGAAGGTCAGCACAACACAACACAACCACTGCCGAGATCCACACACACACACGTGCAGTGATGCTGCATTGTCTGTCTGTGTGTCGGTGTGTGGCTGTGTGTGTGTGTGTGTAGACGAGACTTTGCTGCGTAAGCTGTTGACGAAGCATCCCGAGTGGGACCCGCGGTTCTCTGGCAAGGAGGAGGAGGAGAAGGCAGAGGTCGTGCCGGAAAACTACCCCGTCGACCAACTCGTCTATGAAGACCTCAAAGACGGTCAGCACAGTGAGTGCACCACACACAGACAGACAAACAGACACACACACACTCACGCATCTCAGCCACACACATCTCCCATCTCTCTCTCTCTCTCTCTCTCTCTCTCTGCATGTGTGTGTGTGTGTGTGTGTGCAGTGTGCAGCAAGTATGACATGAGTGCGAATCTGTCTTTGGTGCGGGACGTGATAGTCTCGCTGGAGCGGCACGGCTGGCGACATCCCAAGTTCGAGCCGGTCGAAGAGCAAGAGGCCAAGGCCAAGTAAATGACCGACCGAGCATATATGGGAGATAGGGGAGCGAGAGAGGCACAAGAGCCGAGCGGTTTCCATATGGCCGATGGTTCCTTGCTTGCCGCCCGCCTGTTTGTCCGCACGGGTGTGTGTAAGTGGTGAGAGGTGATGAATGATGTGGGCAAATGGCAGACAGACGTGGCGGAGCCTAGCCTGCCCCTGTTTGTTTGCGGCTGACTTGCCTTGTGGGTCTGTCTTTTTGTTGTGTTGCCGTGCCGCCATTGATTGGATTGCATCTCTTGTGTGTTCAATGGTGGGTGAGGGACGATCCGATCTGGGCGGATAGTACAATGGCTGGATGGATGGAAGTGTGGGTCAGGTTGACAGAGACAGATACCGGCTCCTAAGTAGGCAGGCCATTTGTTGTCACTCTACCCACTGGCACCTGCAAATTGTCTTGCACTGACGTCCATGTGGTGGAACGGTCCAGCAGGGTCGATGTGAAACTGCCTGTCTCTGTCACGCGTCACATGGCGCATCCATCCGTTGATGCCACTCACTTTTCGTTCAAACTCAAAAGAAAGAACGAACAGGGTTCCAAGCCCAGGGTTTGGAACCCTGCGACCTCTTGGGAGCGTGTCGGTGTTTTCGCTGCAGATTGGAGTTCGTCAGAAGCAATGGTAGGCACTCAGCCACACATGTCACTCCATGGCTGGTGGTTTCGTCACGCGCTCACTCCCTCCCTGTGTGGTCCGAACTGCAGCTGGGTCTTGGACGTCTGGCCGCCCAGGCGGCCCAGGGGTTCTTCCACAACGGACCGGTGGCCAGCCGGTTCGACGAGCACTACACGTGCTTCCCTGTCACGTTCGCCAGCAAAGAGGATCTCGAAAAGGGCAACAAAAGTCAGTACTTTAACCAACACACACACAGACAGACGCAGACATCCAGCTGAGCTACACCTACAGCATATCGTCAGGATGTGTGGACGCCTAGAATGGAATGCACTGGCGTATTGGTGCGGGCGTGTGTGTGTGTGTGTGGTGCAGTCCTGCTGCCTCCTTCGGCGCTGGACCATCTTGGTAGGGAGGGGTTGAGGCATAACCCACACACATTGGTTTGTCGTGGAGGGGTGTGTGTGTGTGTGTGTTGTTGTAATCGTTCCTCACTCAGCCCGTTTGAACATCACTTGGCCGATGCTGTTCGAGCTGCACAATGCTGAGAAGGTCAGTCAGGAGGAGGACACAGGACACGCACAGCAGGCCACTCAACTCATTGCGACGAGCTGTGGGTGGGTGTGATGACTGACTGACTGACTGGCTGGTTTGCGTTGCATTGCTTTGCTTGGTGCGGTGTAGGGTCGTCACACGTGTGGCGGCGTGCAGGAGTTCTCGGCCGAGGAGGGGACCTGCTACATGCCCTACTGGGTAGCTACACAACACAACACAACACAGTGCAATTGGTGCACCAACGGCAGGGCGTGTGTGTGTATGGCGGATGCGTGTGTGTGCGTGTGCAGATGATGCAGAACCTGCTGTTGAAGGAGGGCGACATAGTGCGTGTGACCAACACGACCCTGCCCAAGGGCAGGTATGTCAAGCTGCAGCCCGTCTCAAAGGAGTTCCTGGACATCTCAAACCCAAAGGCCGTGTGAGCAGAGCAACACACACACGTGGCCACACACATGAAGACACACAGAGAGAGAGAGGAATGGGATGCATGTGATGTGATGTGTGTCATCTAATCTGTGTATGTCATTTGTTTGTCTTGTGTGTTGTGTGTCAGGTTGGAGGCGTCGCTGCGTCTGTACGCGACCTTGACGGTTGGCGACAACATCGTCATCCACTACAACCAGAAGAAATACGAAATAGAGATTGTGGTCAGTCAATGAAGCGCCCGCCACACAAACGGCCGGCCACACACATACCATACCGACGCTCACGTGTATCGTGTCAGGAATGCCGTCCGTCGAACTCGATCTCGATCATCGAGACGGACGTGGAGGTCGACTTCGCCCCGCCCAAGGACTATGTGGTGAGTGAGAGTGAGACCCACTCAGTGGGAGGGAAGGAGAGAGATGGTCACACACCCACACCACACAATGAGACTTACAGTGAATGACGCACGCACACGCACAGGCTGGCCTGTCCCCTGTCCGTCCCATCATGTCTGCAGGAGCCCTCTCCTCCCCCCACCCCGTCGCCCGTGCCCTCACTCGACCCATTCGGTCCGCGCGATGGATGGGTGACACACACACTTTTTCCACGTTGGGTTTGATGGTCTTGCTCATCTATCCAACCCAATGCAAGCTCTCTGACGTCCTTCTGGCTGTGTGTGGGTGGTGTGGGGTGTGCAGCTGGGTCGAATGGTGGCGGGGAGGCGCCGCCCGCCAAAAAGGAGGATGTAAGCAGCCCTGCACACCAACAGAGAGACAGACGGACGGACAGACAGACAGAGAGCGAAGACTCTCTGTGCGTGTCGTTGGTGTGTGTGTGTCAGGTGTTGTTTGGTGGTACGGGGGTCCGCTTGGACGGCAAGCCGGTCAAGCCCAAGAAGAACTCACCCGCGCCCACCGGCGTCTCGCCCAACAGACCCATCGCCATACCCGACGACGACGTACGCACACGGACATTCCCACGCCGCTCACTTCACACCCACCCAGCCACCCCCTCCAAGGCGTCGGATTCTATTGTATTGTGTGTGTTGACGTACGTGTGAGTGCAGGACGAGACGGACGAAGAGCCGTGGCTCAAGGCAATCCCAGGCGGTGTCAGGGTCAGTTGCAAGGCGACACCCCACCCCATATATCGACCACGTGTCGCCTGCCTTGTTTCCCCTGTTTGTTGGTGTGTCTGTCTGTCTGGTGGTTTGGTGGTTTGATCGTTTGATCGTTCAGACGTACAACGAGCACTTCGAGGAGTTGAAGCGGGAGGGCAAGATCCCCGGCATGGTGGGCAAGACCTCCACCGGCGACCCCAAGGCCATCCTCCCACAGGGCAACTTCGACCTCTTCTCGGGCTCAGGCCACCACCTATCGCACTTCTGACTCACCCGACCCAGCCACTCAATCAACCACGCCGTCACACATGTGTGTGTGGATGGAGAGAGAGGGAGGGCTCTGTAGCATAGGCACACACATAGATTCACAGCCCGCGCGGTGGGTGAGGTGAGATTGAGGAAGGGTAGGTGGGGGTGGGGGTGAATTGGGCAAGCGCGTGGGCGTTTGCCTCGTCGTCTTTTTTGCACTGGCTGGGACAGTTTGCGGCTTGCTCTTTGCTTCGCTGCGCCCCCTCAAGGGGGGCCGCCGAGGTGCGCGCCATGTGCTGTGTGTGTGTGTGTGTGACATTCCGAGACAGCAGGCAAAATGGTCGGTCTCATGCAGTGCATGTTGACACACTACTTACTGATGATGTCATTGCATTCAACAACAGAGATATCTGCTGACAGGACAGGCCTTGTCTTGTCTGCGACAGCCCACAGCTGGATCTACCTACCACTCCACTCATCCTCTCCTGCTGTCAATCGACTCGTTATCAACACCCTTGCAATGCACAGACAGAGCGCACACACACCTCCCTCAGACACGCAGGCAGGCAGGCAGCCCCACCCACCCAGCCATCACACAATCACCATATGCACCATCACCTCACCCAAGAAGGTGCTCCGCCGGGTGCGCCTTCCAAGCAAACAGGCCCCTCAGCTGCTGTCCACTCTTGTCGCCATTTTGTGGCTGCTGTGTGTTTCTGGCCTTGCCGTAAATGCCCGGCAGTGTGGGGTCGAGCGGCCCCTGGGAGGGGTCCAGTGTGGAGTGCAGTCGGAAGGCCGCGTCAGGGTAGACGGGGTGCTGCAGGAAGCCCTGCAGCTTCTCCGAGTAGGCTGCCAGGGCCGCCTTGTTCTGCCTGGCGCGGCGGTACGCGGCCACTGCGCATGACGCGCGGACATGGGCACACAGGTAGACGCTGGTGATGCCGGCGTATCCCATGCTGACATAAGCAGGCAAACAGACAGACAGGCAGACAGACAGCGACACATGCGTGGATGCGTGTGTGGCTGGCTGTGTGTGTGTGTGAGGTGCAAGAATCACACACTCCTAACCAACCTTGTGAAGGCGAAGATCATCCAGTTCTTGAGTAGGGGTGCGGTCCAGTTGTTGGGGAGGTTGACGGGCAGCATCTTGGTGAAGATGGACCCCATTGTCGACACCAGCTCGGCCGCTGTGCACCTGCAGATTGACGGATTGACGGATGCACGCACCAGAGAGAGAGGGAGAGAGATGGGGGGGGTGTGGAGTGAGTGCACCATGGCGTACTTGTTTGGGTCGAGGTCCGGCCCGTGGATATGGTCGTCAATCTCCGACCACTGCAGATACTGCAGGTGGTAGAGGACATCGAACGGGCACACCCTGACAGACAGTCAAAGGACGGACGGACTCACACGCTTCCACTCATTCCACCACTTGACCTGACCCTACCCTCCCTCAGGCCCTTGCTCGACCACTCGCTGCCTGCCTGCCTGCCTGCCTGCCTGCCAGTCTTACTTGGCGAGATATGACGGCAGGGGCGTGCCGTCCTTGATGTGCTTGCTGATATTTGCGAGCACACTCGGGTCCCGAAACAGGTGCCTGAGCCAAGGAAACAAACAGACAGGGGGACAAAGGATTGTCCGTGCTAGCTGCCCGACTGCCTGCGCTGTGCCCTTAGTCGCCGTGACTTACTCGTGGTATACGGCGGCCGTTTCCTGGATGTCGGTCGGGAGCTCCACGTCCCAAAACGCATCGGATGCCTCCGCCTAAGTGAGTGCGTGCAGACACACACGACACAGAGAGACGGAGAGAGATGACAAACACACATGGCATGGCATGGTTGGCTTGATTGTTTGTTGGCCGGCCCATCCATCCATTCATCCATCCATCAGGTAGGTACCTGTCTCCACCTGGCCTCCCCTGCCGTCAGTGGCTGGGCGTGTCTGAGCCGCCGCTGGTGCCGCATCTGGTGGATGTAGTGCACCGCATGACCCAACTCATGACAAATGGTCGAGACCTGAACACACACAACGCAACCACACACATCCATCCATCCATCCCCGGCTTAAGGGGGTAGATATATATTGAGTACCACATATACCAACCAGGGAGAGGTTGAGCGGCAGTGCCAGTCCTGGGTTGTGGGGCATGTTGGGCACATACACCTTGATGTGACCCTCGGCCAGCTTCTGCGCGTGTGGGGGGATGTTGACGGGAATCGGCACCCGGACAAAGTCGAGAAGTGTTGCGTGCTGCGTGCAGGCCAAGTAGAGGAAGACGATCGGGCGGGCGGTGTCGGGGGCCACCTGGTGCTCCTGCCTGTCGTATACGGCGTGGATCTGGTAGTTGGGTGGCCAGCCGAGGTTGGAGACATCCGTTGGGACGAGCTCGATGTGGAAGCCGTGCAGCTCCGACAGCATCTCGAGGATCTTTGGCACCGAATACTGCTGCGAGAAGTAATCCATCAGGTCAAAACCCTGCTGGTATCCAACCTCCTGCACACACACCACCACCATACACACAGAGAGCACGTGTAGTGTCGCGTAGGCAGAGTGACCAGCCGACAGACACATTTGTTCACACGTTCATGGCGAAGTGTTGGAAGTCGACGTAGTCGATCTTTGACTCACTGCCACCTCCCCCGCCCGGCTGCCGCTTCCTCGCGGGCGCTTTGCCGCTTTGCCGCTCCTGCAGGCTGATGGACCTGAGCACATTCTTGATCACCGACTGCAGGGGGGCGTGGAGGGCAGTCTGCACATCGCGATGGAGCTGGCGAATGCTGCCTCGGGTCTCAACCATCCTGAATGCACCGCACCGCAGGTGAGTGAGGGGAGGAGAGCCCACGAAATTGATGCGATGCGTCTGCTTGCCTTGGTTAGTCCCCTCCCTCACCTTTTGTGTATCTGCATGTCGCCCCAGCACTTGTAGCCCATCGCATGGGCCATCTCCTGCCGCACCCGCAGCACCCGCAGCATGGCGTCGGCGATCTTCTCGTCGTCCATGTCCTTGGCATATATTTCCCACAACTGCCGCCGCGCCTCTGCCGAGTTGAAAACCGCCACGAGGTACTCAAAATTGACACGCTGGATGGGGACCTTCAGGATGTCGCTCTTTTTGGACTTGCGGTAGTCGCTCTTGAACCGATCCGATGCTGTGACCTCGCTCACGTGGACCTCGAGGTGAGGCGTACCGCCCTTAGGCGCCAGGGTAACCATCTTCAGCAATGCTTCCTCACAGGCATTCAGCCGCGTCAGGACATCATCCCTGGCCCTCTCGCCGATCCGGTGAGCCAAAGCCAATCTGAAGTCGATTGCTGGGGAGGAAACCAGCCGCTTGTCGACGGCCTCGGCAGGCTGAGCCTGCCGACCGCTCTCGTTGCTGTTGCCGCTCGAGCTGTGCTGATTGGTGATGGCCGTCAAAGCCTTCTTGACACACTGCTTTTCCAGCTCGCTTGTCTGCAGGGCCAGCCGCGTCATAGCAACCTGGTTGGCCAAGGAGAGCCGCCGAACTTCATTGAGTCCTGCAAATAACTTCTGAGCGAACTTGCCGAGCTCCGTGCACTGCAAGAGGCCAGTGGCGGCGGCCTGCGGGTCGGTGCTGGCCTCTGCCTCCTGACTTTGCCGCTCGATGGCCGTGCGGACGTTCCTCAGGGCCTTGACAGTGACGGTTGACGGCAGCTCGCTGAGATCGAGATACCCATCCGGCCGTAGCAAGCGCCGGTTGGACTCGATGAGACCGTCCAGGGGCGTCTGCTTCTCTCCCAAGGACCGAAGCGCCGCTGCAGCCTGCTTGACGGCTCGAAAGGGGGTCAGCCAGCGGTAGGGGTCGCCCGGAGTCTTGAGGGGTTTCTGACCCAGCCCCATTAGTCACTGCCGACAGAAGGAACCGACAGAACCGACGTCCACGAGTAGCGGTGGATCCACGTGAAGAGATGGGTGGGAGTGAAGATCCAAGGAACCAGATCTACGGCGTTTTGTTGTTGTTGTGACGCCTATCGATCCTCATGAACCACCTGGTCACCAGTGCATGAGCCGGCGAAGAGAGCGGATCGTTTGCAGATCTGCTTGAGCTCGCATTGAAATATGGGGCCCCGGACCAAGGAGGCGAACATGGTTCGTTGTGAGGCCTGTGAATGGTTCGTTGTGAGGCCATCGCCTTGACGTTTGCACTGTGGGTTTCGATCTCTCGTTTTCGTTGTGGGCGAAGAAGTCATGCATTTTCGGACGCTTGTTCTCGCTGCTGGCTGTCTGCCATCCATCCATCCATCTCTGGTGAGTGGTAGTGTGTGCGGCCACACACAGACAGACAGACAGACAGACGGACGGACAGACAGGGGGATGGCTGATGGATGAGTCCCATCACATATGATATATAGGGAACAAAAGCATTGCATTGAGTGTAAGGACTGTATGTATAATGAATAACATTTGTCGGCGTCGGACAAACCATAACTGTTTATCTGTCCGCCCGCACACAGGTGTGTGGACACCGTCTCACTGTGTGTGTGTGCGTGTCTTGCCAATTGTATGTGTGTGTGTCTAGTCACGAGTCACGACACGACATTTTTTTCTCGCAGCTACTTAAATCGCCGTCACTTAGCTCAATTGGGGCCAGCCACATGGTAAGCAAAGCAGCAAACAAAACAGCCAAACCCCCCGAATGAATTGCGCCCACCCGATTCTACATGACATGTATCTTTCTACACACAGAAAAAGAGAGAACGAACCGGAAAACTCGCAGACGTCTGTCTGTCTGTCTGTTCCTCCCTCCCTCGCCTATCGATCTACCGGCCGGACATTGATTGGATCTATAACGTACAGCTAAGCTATGCTATCCATCCATCCATCGATCAGCCCTCGGTGGGCGTCACCTTGACGAGCACCAGGTGCCCATCCCGCTCTACCGCCACATACAGTGCCGACGTGCCGAGGCTCCCATAGCCTCTCGGCTCGCTGCCGCTGACGTCGATCGGCTTGATGACCCGCTCCTCCCTGCCCTTGCCCCAAATCTCCATCTCATAGATGGTCGTCCCCAGCTTCGGATGCTGCCCCCCAAACAGTACACGCCCCGGCTGGTCTTCCCCACTCGTTGGGGCCGGGGCCTTCAGGGCCACCGATGTGTCGCCTCCTCGCAGGTTGGTGGCTGCCGGCGTGTCGGCTGGTGTGGCTGCTGTCTGTGGGTGCACGGGGGTGAGGGGCTGGGTGGCGGCCGATGTCATGCTGGATGGGGGGACGGCCACCGGATGGATGGCCTCGCCGTCGAAGTAGAAGAGTTTCCTGCCCGAGTGCGGGGAATCCTTCTCAACCGCACTGCGAAAACACAAACACAGCAACGAGCGCACTGCGTATGGACGGACGGGGGGGCGACAGAGAAGGCGCCGTTTGGCAGTGTGTGTGTTTGGATACATACATACCTGAAGTATATGACGGGCTGCCTCGCGATCGCGTCATGGACCACAGTGAAGGCGAGCGGCTTAGAGGGCATCGCGACACCCACCTGTCGCATGAACCGCACGCAATGGGAACAACTATTGAGTTGTTGTCTGATTCCGTCCAGTAGGTATTACCTGGTTGCGTCTCTTCTGGTCGGGCATGAGTCGCACGTCGTCATCCCGGGGATTGTAGCAGAGAATACCCGCAGTTCCATCTCCCGCCGCACCAGCAAAACACAGTCGTCCCGTCCACACAGCGAACGCTCCGTTGGTCCGATTGGCTGTCACACGCACCCCGGCCTCCTGGTCAAGCAGCCCACGAGCCGATGCGCTCATCCGGACGGCCTGGTAGGTGTCCCTGCCGCCCTCCCGCTGTCTGAGCAGATGTGCGTTGGCGTTGGTGATGCCCTCGGTCATCTCGATCTCCCTCCCGTCACGCCCGTCGATGCCGTTGCGCATCTTCTCGGCGATGAACATGTCACCCCTCCCGGCCACGAAGTAGAACTGGCCATTGATGAAGGTCAGGGGCCGCCACGCAGGTGACCGCGGGAGGGAGCTGCCGTCGCGCAGCTGCAGTGTGCCGACCGCTGATGTGTCGGTGTCCATCAGCCAGGGAGTGAGGCGACGCGGCAGCGGGGGAGGGCTGATGATGAACACGCCTGTGGACGACGCGCGCTCCCCATATACCCACAGTTTGCCGTCGAACACCGCCAGCTCGTGGCTGGCCGTGTCGGCCGTCCCAATGACGCCCATCGGGGTGGCAAGGGCACCCCCGCGGCTGTCCAGCTCCACGCCAAAGAGCACCAGTGACTTGTCGGTGTACTCGGCAACCGTGTAGTATCTCCCATCGAGCAACGCGCCCGTCTTGGCGTCGCCGGGCATCGTCACAAAGTCCAGGTCCTTGTCCGAGTCGGCCGGCGTGATTGACGCGGGCAGCTCAAGACGCTTCAGCTGAGGCTTGTCGGCCAAGCCCACGATGAAGAGCTCTTGTTTCTCGGGAGCCGTTGTGGCACGAAAGACGAGCACAGGGGCGTCGTGCACCAGCGGGTTGTTGCTGGGCTGCGATGCGCTGAGTGACGGGGGGCTGGTGCTGGACGGCTGTGGAGGGATGACCAGGAACCGGTCGGTGACGGAGATGGCCTGGAGGGAATCGCCGGCTGCGAAGGGCTGGAGGGCTTCGGTGAGGTTCAACACATCTTCAACTGTCGCTGAGATGGGGAAACAGACCAGAAAGGCATTTCTCAGCATCATCGCATCGCCCTTTTGCCACCCCAGCCAGCCCACTCACCACCGGATACTTTTGGGGCGTTTTCGATGCCATTATCTACTTGGAGTCCACGGGGCTGCAGCTGGGCCCAGCACCCACACGCCCATCCGCAAAGGATAAGAAGAGCAGCAGCGCGGCAGACCATCGCGGCGTCTGATCAGATGGAAAACGTCAACAAGGGTGGTGATTTTGAAGGCGAGATGCGACAGATGGATTCCAGATCTTCTCACCTCCGGTATCTGACCACAAATGCCGCGCGGACGGGGAAAGAAGGAGAGGCGCTTCTCGCTCGTTATTTCAGCCCCCGGTCGCCCACCAGATTGTCTCAGTATCTGCCCTGGCAGGACCTTCTGAACGATAGACGCGCTAGCTCCGTCGTTGCTCTCGTTCCATTTTCAGTGACTTTCGTCGCCTTCACTTGCGAGCGGCCTCCATCGAGGCGTCAGGTCATCGTCTTGGTGTTGTATATCGGGACTCCTCCTTTCCTTTGGCGGCATCCATCGTCATGTCAGGCCGTCGCAGCAGCATCATCGCAGGGATGGACATGGCTCAGCTGACGCAGACGGGCGAGGGCGGCGAGGAGCTGGACCCCAACAGCCAGGCCTTCCTGATGCGCGTCAGGGAGGCCGTCGAGGAGCTCAGGGAAGAACTCGATGAAGAGGTAAAGCCACTTACCACATGATGAATGAAATGGCAGAGGAGAAGAAGCGAACAGGACACTCATCCCTCTGCAGGTTTGCAGTGAGTGAATTGGTGTGTTGTGTTGTTTGGGTGTTTCGTTGTCTTGTGGGGGTGTGTGATCTGACTTAATTGTGTGGTCAGAGGCGGCGTGTAGAGGAGCTGGAGGAGCAGAAGGAGGAGTATGAGAGGGAGCTCACACGGGCTGCCGAGGCCCTCGACAGCGACCAGGCACAGCTGGCCGAGAAGGACGACACCATCGCCAAGCTTGAGGAACGCACCAGAGAGCTCGGTCCGTTCCGCACATCGATTCGATGCTATCCTATCAGTGCCTCCATCTCCCATCCATCCCTTCCTTGCTGCCTTTGTGGTTGATGTATGTTGTCACTCACGGTTTTGCAGAGCACGAGATGGATGAGCTGCAGCGAGCGGCCGAGGAGGAGCTGGACGGTCTTGCTGACGTGCGGGAGGAGCTACAGAAGTGCCGTGACGACATCGCTGCCAAGGAGGAGGCCATCGCAGCCAAGGACTCTGCCATCACAGACCTCGAGAACCGCCTCAGTGAGCTGTCCACCGAGAGCACTCACCTCCAGCAGCGGCTGCAGGAAAAGGACACCCAAGTCAACGTACGCGGGGCGGGCTGCGCGGGGACGCGAGAAATGAGCCTGTCCTGTCTGCTCAAGGGATCCATGTGTGTGTGTGTGGTGTGAGTGAGTGCAGGAGCAGGAGGCGGCAGCAACGACTCGGCTTGAGAGCTTCAAGGACACCTTGGCTCGTGATCACCAGCTGGCGCTTGAGGAGAAGGACACCCAGATCGGGGCCATAGAGCAGGAACTCCTCGACGAGAGGGAGGCCAGGTAGGTCGGTCTGGCTTTCTGCAGACCACATGCACCACCCTCCCTTTCACCTCGAGTGTATGTGTGTGTAGGACCCAGCTCGAGGAGGCTCTGCAGACCACTGCGACGCGCCTAGAGACCACCCACACCGAGCTGACAGAGGTCCGGGGCTCGCTCGAGGAGGCACAGGCCGAGCTGGAGCGCCTCAGGACCGCCGACACCCAGCTCACTGCTGTCAAGGTCGGTCTCTGTCATGTCACGTTATGGACGACACTCATCTACGTATGTTGGTCCTCGATGGATGCATCGATGGCATTTGTGTTGCAGGAGGAGCTGGGTGGGGTGCGGGCGCAGTATGAGGAGGCGGCCGAGTTCCGCGCCAAGTGTGAGGTCTACCAACAGAATATCCAGACACTGCGGACGGAACGATCGCAGGTGAGATGACTGAAGCTCAGTGAGCTCATCTATATGTGTGTTGCCAGCTGGATGTGCCTCCCTGTTGATATGTCCGCCCACTGACACGACAGGCGCATGAGCGGCTGGTGACACTGACCCGCGAGAACGCCGACCTCCGCTACACGCTCAAACAGCTGCAGGTAGGTACCTTAACCACACACAGGGCAAAGGCAGGCAGGCAGGCAGGCAGGCAGCAGTGTCGTGTTCACATCATTCAAAGTTTCCTTCGTTCAGGAGTCTGACGAGGCGCGTAGACAGCTTGAACTGGACCGGGAGCGGCTCACGGCCAGCCTGCAGGTACACACACGCATACACACACATGGACAGGACAGAGATGGCATGCCTCGGGATGGGTGGATTGTCTTGTGTGTGTATGTGTGTGTGCGCGTGTCAGGACGCCGTCAATGGCCGCATCCGTCTGGAGCGAGAGTTGCTGGAGAGTTCCAACAGGTTGGCGGAGATGAAGACGGCCGCCACCCGAGCCGTCCAGCTGGAGGACGACAAACAGCGGCTCATGCGCGAAAAACTCGACCTCGACCACCACAGACGAGTATGTATGGGTCGCTGGCTGGATGGCTGGCTGGCTGGCTGGATGGATGGGGGAGGACACAGACAGGAGGTGGGGGCCATTGCAATGCAAGAGGTGTGTGTGTGTGTGTGTGTATGCAGGACCTGGAGGGGACGTGCTACAAGTTGCAGAAGCTCGCCAGGAGCAAGGACGCCACCATTGCAGAACTCAAAAAGGTCCAGAGGGCACACAAACACACAACACACAGGCAGGCAGGCAGGCAGATCGGACGAGAGACGACATGACATGCAGCCGCATCCATCCATCCATCCATCCATGATTCACCTCTGTTTGATTCATTTAGGAGACGGCCGACCTCGTGCGCATCCGGGAGGAGCTCAAGGTGAGCAGGGCAGGGCAGGACAGGCTGCTGGAGGGCCGCTGCACCCCATATGCCCATCTCTTCTGTGTGTGTTGCGTCTGTGAATGCATCAGCGTGTGGAAGTGGCCGAGCGCGAGAGGGAGGAGAACTACGCCAAGCTGGTCGACGGCCGCGTGGCCGAGCGATTCGAGAAACTCAGGGCCAAATACGAGGGCAAAATCGCCAGGTCGGCACCGCACCAGACCGGCACAGCGAGACACAAACGGACCAGACAGGCTATATATGGTTAACCATGTGCAGGTTGCAGCGGCAGCTGATGGATCGGGACGGCTACGAACAGCGCATGAGGGAGCTTGTAGAGGCAGGTGGGCGAGGCGAGGCGAGGCGAGGCGAGGCGAGGCGAGCACCGCTGTTCCCCATCGCTCACCCCTCCCTCACCCCTGTCTGTGTGTGTGGCCGGCCGTTTAGAGCTGTCGAGTCTGCAGCGGTGGAACAAGGAGATGGAGGAATGGGATGTCGCGGCACGCCGCGCGCGGCAGCATGACGACAACACCAGCGCCATTCGGGCAGAGAACAACCAGACACTCCTCAACGCACAAATGAAACAGGTTACTCACTCACGTCGGCGTTTGCAAAGAAATGTTCCCCCCACGACGCACACGACCACATGATGTGCGTGTCTGTGTGTGTTCACAGATCGCCAGGGGCCTGGAAAGGCGTCTCCATCGCGCTCTGCACCGGTCGGGTGCTGGTGCTGGTGCCGGAGGTGGTGGCGCCACTCTGCGCGACCGGTCGTACGACGCATACGTCAACCCCTACACGACGCAATACCCCCCCACCAGATGAGATGAGATGAACGACGGACGGGCGGACGGGCGGCAGAGATGAAGACGAGACGGATGGCGTCGAGCCCAGCCGTGTGGGTGGGTGTGGGTGGGTGGATGGATGTCGCCTGCCTGTTATTTGTTTTTCGCCCGTGTGGGTCCGTCACCGGTGGTTGATGGAAGGAACGGATGGGCGGACGTGGACAGACAGACAGACAGATGTGGATGGATAGATGGATTGGATGCACCCAGCCCAGCGAGGGAGGGACCGACCGACCGACAGATGCGGATGCGCAGCGCACACTCGGCACTCAATCAATACATACCATCGTGATGGATGCACTTGGTTGACCGCAACTCGATGGGTCACCCACCGGTGAGTCAGTAAGCCAACTGCACGTAAGCCCCCCACCCCCTTTGTAGTGACAATCACAGAACAATGACACTCTCGTAACAGCTCCCTCCATTATGTATCCAACCACCCTACCATGCTCATCTCGGATAAAGCCAACACATCACACGTCACACAACAACGTCACGTCCACGAGACGACCCCCCCCACACGACACACACAAAACCATAATCACAGGCTGGCCTTGGTGCACACTTTCCTCAGCCGCAGCTTGGTGATCTTGGCCTGCTCCGCACAGGCATTCGCCAACTCCACCCGCCGGTTGTTCTTGAGCCGCTCCTCCAGCAAAGCCAGCATCTCGCCCGCCGACTTGCCCGTCGCACAGACGATGAAGATGAACCCGTTCTGACCCTGGTACTGATCGTTGCCCTCCTTTAGTCGCCGCAACACGGCCTCAGAGGCAGATCTCGCCCCGGCCTGCTCGTTCTCGCACATGGCGGCGGTTGCGGCGAATTTCTGCCGGAGCTGGTCCACGTCGCCTATCTTTGGGTGGCCTCTGAAGGCCTCCAGCCAGTCTGGCTCTGACAGATTGTCCCAGATGCGGTCTGCTGCCGCCTCCAGCTCATCCAGCGAACTGAGAAGAAAGCTCGGACACACACACAGAGTGCACAGATACACACGCAGGGGTGCGGTGCGGCAGTGAGCGGTGATGTGTTATGTCTGGTGTGGTGCGTTCCGTTGCTTACGCGAATGGCCTGAGTGTTTCCATCCTGATGGCCCATCGCGATGAGTGGCAGCACTGCAGGAAGGCCTCCCGCGCCTCATCGGCACTCATCATGTTCAGCCGGTCCACGTCTATCGCCATTACGAAGGCCGCTGCAGATCTTCGAGTTAGAGCGCGTCAAACACATCCATCGCACTGCAGTTGAGCTGGACAGACGTGCACATCTGACATTTAAATCGTCAGGGACCTTCACAAAACAAGCTTCTTTCAAGAATTTGACAAAGAATGCAGGCAGTGTCACTCACGGTGGATGTAGTCATGCAGTCAGTCAGTATGCACAGTAAGGGGACACCCACCGAGTCAGGTCTACCTATCTATGAGGGCTGATTGATGGCCCCAATGAGGAAGGCCAAAGGCCGCACAATGTCTGTGACCAGCACGGGCAGCCCATCATCTTCACTCACCGACACAATACCTGGGCACACACACACAGGCAGATAACTGTGCGCTCCCATGGCTGTCTCGTCTGTCTGTCTGGATGCTTGTGTGTATCTGACCCACCTCTGGCCAGGTCATTGAGGTCAGAGGGGTAGCGCTCGAACCACACCTCACACAACATCGATATCGCCTGAACACAACACACGCATCCGAACACACATACACACACACGGCATGACCATGTGTGTGCATCCATCATGGATGCGGCCCTTGGCCTGCTCACGTCTCGCAGGTGTCCGTTCTGCTTGGCCGCTTCGATGAACTCGGTCCGATTGGCGGCGAAGATGCACTGCCTCCTTTGCTGGGGTGCGGAGGGCTGGATGAACCCGCAGTAGAGGGCGGCCAGGGCAGGGCGGTATAACGACACACAGCGATCGTCACGCACTGTGGGGTCGTGACTCTGTGCACACACATCCACACACAAGGGTATGGTATGTATGCACTTTAACTAACTGCTCTGGTTCTCTTGCCTTGCCCTGTCTGTTCGGCGTAGCGTACCTGGTATATGGTCATGACCAGATCGACAAGGGCCCTGAACACCCCCCACGCCAGCTGGGTCTCCTGCTCGCTCAGCCGCCCATTCGTGGCCTTGCCGGGGCTGGCGTCGCTCGTGAGCAGCACCGCATTGAGAAGGACAGCCGCCTTCTCGCCCTCCCGACCCTCCCGCATCCCTCTCGACACCACACTGCCTACCGCCTTATCGCACATGTCGATGCGGAATGACCTCAGCTTGGCCGCACTCTCATCTCCGTCTCCGTCGCTGATGTTGACCGTCCACTGGCGGCGATTGGCCGATGTCTCATCCACCGCAGACACGTGCCGCAGCGCATTGAGGGCGTTGGCGGCGACCCACCGGCCGGCGTCGGTCTCGCTGATGGTGTGCATGAGCAGGGCGTCTGGCTGGCCGATGAAGGGGTTCTCCAGTGCCTGCTGCAGCGAGATGGGCTGCCACGTGTCTAGAGCGGATAAGAGGACCTCCACCAGCACCGGCAGTGGGGGAGAGGGGAGGGAGGGAGGAGGGGAGGGCGTGATGCATCGGTGGTACTCTGACGAGAGGAACCTCCACTGGGCCGCGGAGAGGCTGCCGCCCTGCACACATGACACATTCAAGGATGGTGGGTGAGGTGTGACGCGTGTGTGTGGCGGCTGACCATGCGGATGGCGTCGAAGATGCCGTCGTACCCTTGTCGGCACTCCTGCAGGGCTGCAGCAGCAGCGTCATCACCAGCAGCATCCGCTTCTGCTGCTGGGGGCGCACTGAACAGATACGAAACTCGCTGACGCAAGCCGATCAGCCGCACCGGATTGCTCAGGGGGCTCAGTGTCAGACCCTGCAACACACCGACAAACACATCAGGGTATTGGGCGGTGGTGGAGGTGGTTAAGGGTATTTGTTTACGCGCATCCACCCATCGCTCACTTTGTCTGGAAGTCCGAACGAGGAGCATGACTTCTCGAAAAACGCCCTCAGGAAGCCGCCATCGACGGCACCATGATCTTGCTCATCCTCATCCTCATGTTCATCTCTCGCCTCTGCAGATGCCGAAGACTCGCCCCTCTCGGCTGGCCCCTCGTCCATCCGGTCTTCATCGTCAGCACCTCCGGCCATGTCGCTGCTAGTGCTGCCGCTGCGCCTTTCCTGGGCCTGTTTGAGGTATTCGGTGAAGATGTTGAGCTGCTGCCAGTTGGCGGGCGAGGGGGCGATGTCGCCGTGCTTGTTGGCCAGAAACGTCACTGCATCATCCAGCCATTCCAATAGCCGAAGCAGGGGCAATGTGTGTGTGGTGTAAAGGTGAGGTGAGCCCCCGCCCGCCCGCCTCCCTCACGTGCGGTGGTGACGGGCCATCCCTTCGCCGCGATGTAGTACGCTGCCAGGGCCACCACACAAGCGTCCTGCCCACTCACATCGAAGATCTGCGAAACAGTCACCCACACAGACAGACAGACAGACAGACAGAAAGGAAGATGGGATGGGTGCAGCAGAAGAGATCAGTCTCTTCTATCCGGCCCATCCGGCCCGTCTCACCAGGAGAGGCAGTTTGTTTGGCTCTTGCGCGCTTGCAGCAGCAGCTGCCGCCGATGCACTACTGTTGTTGTTGTTGTTGTTGGATTTGAGGAGCTTCTGGAGCACCCTGACGCACTGCTGCAGACCCCCACCCGTCCACCCGCTGGCGTGCACAGCTGACACACATACACATACACACACACAGAGACAGAGATAGAAGGGGGGGAGGGGGGAAAAGAGTTGTCTGTCTGTCTGTCTGTTTACTATCTATATGTCTCACTGACGTATGTGGTGATAGTCGTCCAGGTCGACGGGCCCCAGCACATCAGCCCGGTTGTACGTCCGCCGCCGCCCGCCGTCGCCCCCATTGCCGTCCCCGTTGCCATTGCCCTCGCCTCCCTGGACTTGCACGTCATCGTCGATGTCGTCCAGCGAAGACCCATCGCCCCCCTGCTGCTGCTGCTGCTGCTGCGGGTCCTGTTGCTCGTTGCTCGCTTCGGGCAGGGCGAGTGGGGGTGCGTTGGGTGGTGCCTCGAGTGCCGGTGGTACTGGTGTGTGTGGTGAGGTGGGGGATGCAGCGTGGGATGAGGCTGCTGTTGACGGCGCTGCTGTGGTGGGGGACGTCTGGCCGTCGTTGGCCGCCGACATGATGCCGTTCGGGGTCAAATCGATGAGGGACCTGAGACCAAGACAGGACACAAGAGCTGTATCTGTGTGGATCCATCCATCCATCGTCACTCACTTGATTTGGAGCCGCTCGAATATGCGGGCGTTGCAGCCGTGGAAGAGATGGCCCTGAGTGAGAAAGACCAACCAACACAGACAAGAGGGAGGGGAGGGATGCATGGTACCATGAATGCCGTCGTGCGTATCTATCTTATCGTATGTGTCGTGTTGTGTTTGCACCGACCACATAGATTTGCTGCGGCGTGATCTCCACAGGATAGCGCATGTAGGCCTTGGCACTGCAATGCAAACGAAACACACCACCCGCCTCGCCCATCTGCCCATTCATTTGCGTCAGTCAGGGCCCTGACTGACGCACCTACCTGAGGTGTGGGTCTTTCTCTTCATCCGACGACAGACACAGGAAGGGGTATAGCTCACGGAAGGCACACACTCCGCCCTCCAGCAGACCAACCTCCTTCACAAGGTGACCCGATCGCTGCATCAACCAACCACACAACACACCAGGGGTTTCACTCACATGAGTGTTTTCCGTCCTCACCCACCCGGATGAGCTGCAGCACTTGCGCCTGCCCCTCATCCCTGCAGACAGACAGACACACGCAGACCCATGTCATGTCAAGGGGCCGGGCCTCTCGCGTGCATGCTCGTTCTCTAATGTGTGCTGTGCTCACGTCATGGGTGTGTGCGCCTTGGTGTGGTCCTCATTGTAGCAGATGACTGTCATTTTGTCATTAAGCATGCTGCTGTCGCTCCCACGCGGTGGGTGGAAGGTGCCAGAGGCCACACTCACACCTGCAGGCCGGGGGATCAGGTGGACAGACAGATGTGTGATGTGCATGTGTGTGTTGTGCAGAATGGATTGGATTCACGAATGAATCCGCTCACTTACTCGTCATGTTGCTGGCCCCTCTGATGTGGCCCTGTTTGTACTGCTGCGGCGGCCTCACATCCACGAGCAGCAGCGACTTCCGGCTGCCCTGCAACACACAGACAGACAGACAGACACAATCACAGAACATGGCAATACATCAGCCAAGGCGTGGTCCTCGCCGACGCGCTCACCTGGTCCTTCATGGTCTGCAAAAGATTGAAGAGCTTGCCCGGCTTCACTGCCGTGAGGGGCAGGCCGTCATGTTTGCCATCCCTTGCCTGCCGCGCCTCCTCCTTGGCGCGACGAAGCATCGACTGGAAATCCATCACCAAGACTAGTTGGATGACTGTTGATCAATCAATCAACCAGTCAGTCAGTCAGTCAATCAACCACATTGGCAGAGAGGGAGAAACCAGAGACAAAACCACTCGCTGGCAGTGAATGCACCCGCCCCGCTTGGCTTACCCTCTGGTTGACTTGCGTCAAGATGAGCCGCACAATCGGCGGCACCGAGGCGCTCACAGCTATCTCGCCAAGCAGATCTGCACACAAGGCAAGGAAGGACGCAGTGAACATGCATCCGTCAGCCTCTGTGTGTGAGGCTCTGTCTGTCTGCACGGGATGACTGACCATTTGTCAGGATTGCCAGCTTGGCAAGACGAACCACTGCGAGCTTGTGAGCTAGGGTATATTGCTGTGTAACGGGTGGAGAGAGAAGAAGACAAGGAAAGACAAGGAAAGCATTCTGAGGAGACACGATCTTATCAGCCATCACCGAAGTGAGATCTGTGTTGACCACCCTTCATGATGCCATACATGGACAGAAACAACTTTCACTGACTGGTCAGTCCATCGGTCTTACTAAAGTAAAAACACTCTTACTGGGACTTACCGCCCAGCAGATCCTCTATTCAGCTAACTACAGGAAAGGTCCTCACCGGCCTTTTCGCACATGGGCGCAGCAACTTGGTTCTTGCCTATCTGAGCCGAAGTC